CAGTAGGTTTGGGATGGGGCTCAAAAAATCGCATTCTTGACAAGTCCCCAAGGTGATGCTGATGCTTCATAAAGCAAATGGCGTAAAACTGTGCTTGCCTATAAGTAGGCGTTACTTGAGAAAATTATAAGACATTCCGATTGACCTAGGAATGACCCTCATCTAGGCATTTACAGGGTATCTGGTCTCAAGAATGAGACAGCAGAGAAGTAACAGCCTACGTTTCAACTCAGGCGAGTCTCAGGAGACGAATAAAAAGCAACCAGCCAAACTTGCTGTGATACCCCTGCATTTAGTAATCCAATAAACTGAGGAAGTTTCAGCACTAACTTTCCTGGAGGCTCTCTCTGGGGCCAATTACCTCTGGAGGACGGTTGAGAAACACTAACAATTAAAAGTGCCTTAGAGAGAAGAAGGGTGTTTATACTCTGGTGAGGCTCTTAGCCACAGGGGAAATTAGGGAGCACCTGCATGGCCTGGATAATGAACAACGAAAAGGAAAGACAACGGCACTGAGGACTCTAAGGCCCAATGTGCTTAGAAACTTGAACCGTAAAGAGGAATTCTCTGAACTGAAACAAAAATGCAGACGAATTTAATTTCCCAGGAGGCTCAGCAGTTAAGCTGTCATTACAGAAACTTTGGGTGTGACTATGTGACTTGGGGCAAGGCAGGATGCCTTGGACTCATTAATGGACTAACCATATGGCAGGAGACCCATTTACAGAAAACAAAGGATGAAAACAAAAATACAACCCAAGAGGAGCTTCTGATTAGTAAACGGCCCTTTTTGTCACTTGTCTCAATAAGTACGTTTTAAGTGTGGCTTCATATTGTCATGTAAAGTCATAAATGACCAAATCAGCCTTGTCTGGTTAGAAGGGGTCCCAGTCAAAAACAGTAAGAACCAGCTACCTTCATGGCACTTTCTGATCATCCATGAACAGGGTAGTTTTCTTTTGTATCTAACTTACGTCTCTTCTTGAAATACGTCTGCATCCTGTTATTCTGCTCTCAGGCAACTTCCACATCATAACCATCTGTGCGCAGCATTCACTTGCTGGCTGTTCTACTCAAGAAACCCTCAGACTCTAAGGCCACCAGTGCAGTATAAACTGGCCATGACTTAGCTTAAATCTCGGTGAAAAATGCTGCTTAACCAAAGTGCGATCTACAAATGAAAGACCTAATGATTTGTGAAAAGCATTGAACAAGCTTCAGTGAGCAAGCACATTACTACAAAGCGCTCTGACAACGGATTTTATCAGTGCCACTCTATCCAGGTCTGTCTTCAAATAAAGTGTACCGTGTAGGTGCCAAGAAAGTAAAGAGACAACAACAGCAGAAGAGGGATTGAGTCTCTGTCAAGGGGCAGTTATGATGGTGCAGAACAAAACATGGAACTGGCTGAAATGAGACCTGAATTTTAATTCTTTGATTTTCGAGTTGCATGACTTAAAAAAAAATCACTTTACCTCCCTGATGCTCAGTGTTTCCATCTATAACTTGGTAAAATGTGGGATAAAATTATTCTCTCAAAGTTGTGGTGGGGATGAAATGAATAATAGTTAGGAATATACAAAATAACCTGCCTGATATTTAGGACCCGACCTCCAGGAGAATGGCACAACACACAGGTTTATCTTCGCGCCTTCTTGAAACATCACCACAATAGTTAAAGAATTATTTAAAACAGAAAGGCTCATAGGAAAAAAGAGAAAAGGAAAGGACATGCCACAGATGAGATATCAATAAAATTCTCCAAAATTTAAAGTAGGTATTAGAGTGGCATGTAGCTTGGCAGAAAGAAAAAACAAGCTGAAACCTAAATCTCTGAAGGGGGAGGTGCCAATAAAACTCAAGCCATCCTGAGCTCCAAAACATCAAAGGGGCTCAGGAACTGAATGCATGAAATAGTCTTCAAGGCTGAAAACAGGATTGGTTGAAAGTCTGAAGAGCTGTCAGAAAATCAGATCTCTCATCTTACCATAAGATGCAGTGATTATTTCTATAAATTTCAAACCAGAGGGTCTCATTGATCAGGGATACTGGACATCATAAGAAAAGAAGTCAAGCTTTTTACTAAAAATTGAGAATTAAATAAAAGTTGGCATGCCGAATGGTGAAAACCCCATCCCCCAACCTCTTTCACTAACTTTTGTAATGTCAGCAAAGGAGAATATCTCTTTGGTGAAATCTATTCAAGATGAAAGACCTAAAATATTACTAGCCAGGGGCCCCGCAGCACAATGGCCAGAGTACCCTACCTGAGTGCCATACAGTTGAGTCCACCAGCCAACACGTTCTGCCTCACCCACAGAGCTTCCAGTTAGCATTTTAGTGTCTCACTCATTCTTAAATAAAAAATGGGCAACCAAAGGTCAGCAGCATTTGGCAAAGACCACTGTAACAAGATATTAGGCATCAAGATGTAATAGACGTCAAAGTTCGAAGTGGGCTGCAAGACATCCCTCAAAGTAGATAGCCACGGACTATTTTCACAAATCACTCACACCTAGGATATAAAACAGGTAAACAGAAGGGGAAATTGAGAGAGGGATTTCTTTGGAGAAAACTGTGCTATGTGTGCTCCACCACCACCACCAAGAAGCATGCGGTATGGTTCCGGCTAACCTCAAGTCAAGAGAGGGAACTCCGTGGGATCACTCAGAGAGCTGGGTATGTGTCCCCTGCCATTAGCGGGATACAGTCGATGGTACTTGACTCATCCCAGGTGAGCATCTGGCTGAAGGGGCCTATGGCAGCTGAACAGAGCGATGTGCCTGAAATTAACTGCAGTCCCCACCGACTGCAAGAGAAATATGCAAGTTTCCCATGGTCCATGTTTGAAACTGTGAGTGAGAGAGTTAATCTGGAACCATTATAATCACTTCTAAGTGATCACCTCGAGGGAACAATGAAAATCCTGCAGAAAAGAGTCTCTGTGGAATGGATCCTCAAAGATCCATGTACTAAGGGGAGAACGGCCAGCCAAGACATGTAAAGGGCCACCAACAATTTGTAATTGGATCCGGACTGAATCCACAAAAACATCCAAGTCAAAAAAGAAAGTCAGAGTTAAATGTCTGCCAGGCCTGGAGAGCACAAAGCAAATTAGACAAGTTAGAATTTTCCTGCCCTCCAGTCTCGCCTCTTCCACCCCTGTTTCAACCCTGGAGGGGTCAGCTATCAAGATTAGCAATGGGTAAGAGAGTGGAAGCAAGAAAGGACCAATGAAAGGCCACAACCCCCTTCCCTGGCCTCCTGCAGCTGAAAGGCCCCACCAGGGGAGAGAGTAGCTGTCACTTTAAAGTTGGAATGCTTTAGCTCTTACACAGACTGAATTACCTAAGGACTTAGATTTGTGTTTTGTGTCTTAAATTGATTTTCTATTTAGAAGAGTTTATTAAGAACAATAAAAAAAGACATGGGACTGCCCAAATCTTTATTTAGAAGAAAACTTTTCCCAGTGAGTTAATTCTAAAAGGACAGGAACAGAAAAAATAAAGAAGCTTTCTGATTCCATGCATGAATCATATTTGTTCAAAAGAAACATGAAAAGAAGTCAGAAAAAAATCAAGAAAATTCAGAAAACAGAAGGAAAAAAAAGCTTGCAAAAGGGGAAAAACAGGTCACATAGAAAGGATCAGGAACAAGAACAAAATTTTAAGAAAAAACTTCTCAACCGTGGAAGCTGGAAGACAGTGAAGCAATGTCTTCAGAATGATGAAGGGCAATAGTTTCCACCTAGAATTCTATGTCAGGGCAACTTAAGGTAGACAAAATATTCTCAGATATTCAAGGTTTCAAAACTTTTACCTCCTATTCATTCTTTCTCAGAAGCTACTGGAGGTGTGCTCCACCAAAATAAAGGCAATAACATGTATTGAAAGATAGAGGGAAATAGTAAAAATAATTCCCAAGATAGCGGCCCAGAATAACGGCTTCTCAACAGGCCTGAGGAGAAACCGTTTTAGGCAGGAGCAGAAGGGTCAAAGCCTCCTGGACAGCTGTCTCCAAGAAGAGACATCTTCATGGAACTGACATATTACCAGATGTGGCTGGCCCTTTTGAGAAGGGTTTCACAGCTCTGTCAGATAAATTAGTGATAAGTACAACGAAAATTGAGCTAATGAAAAAGGGATCCAAATATTAACTTCAGGAAAAAAACAAATGTATATGAAAAGGACACCATGATAATGATAACATCATCATTACCAGCCTCCACGTGCCAGGCATTGTTGTAAACGCTATACTGATACTGTCTCTTAAAATCTTCATAATGACCCTAGAAGGTAAGCATTATTATTAGGCCCATTTTACTCATGAGGAAAGTGAGGTACAAAGAGGTTAAATGACTTGAACAACATCACATAGCTGATAAATACCACAGCCCAGATTTGAACCAGACAGTCTAACCCCAAAATCCATGCTCTACTATATCAGTTTGTTACGTGGCTCAGCTGTGAGCAATATTTATGTGACTGTCAAGGTCTACACACTGAATACTGATCTGACCTATAATTATGACCTAATTATAACTAAGAGAATGGGGGAGGAATTATGTTGGGGGTAGGTGGGGTAGTAATAAAATTTCTATATCCTCATCTCTCCTGGTAGAAAGTTAATACATCACGGTTAAAACTGGGGGGAAAAATCAGTATATAGTAATATATTATTTAAAACATACAAATAAATAATAGAAGAAGCTAAAAAATTTACAGAGGAGAACTGGATTTGGCAGTGGAAAAAGGAAAAGCAAGGGACTGTTCTTTTTAATATTACTCTTGAAGTAACATTTGCATTTTTAAACTATGCGTTTGTATTTCTTTGATTAAAAAAGTCAATTTAAACAAAATTCATCAATGTTGGAAAAAGGTAGGGAGGGATGGCATTTGGTACTGAAATGGGCACTTGGATGGTAGAGGCAAGAACCAGGACCGACAAAGCAGATCAGGGAAAAGCTCTGCTGGTCTTCTTGTAACCACCCTGGGTCATACCTTCTTCACCAAACACCTCTCCACAGTGAGCGCAGAAGAAGTGCTCTGGGTGCCAGGTTTGGTTCATGGCCGTCAGCACTTTCTGGAAAAGAAACACACCAGACAGATTAAAATGCTACGGAGCTGTAAAACATGACCCCAGCTCTAAGTGAGGAGTAAAGGCTACATGAAAGCAGGGGGAAGGGCGATTTACTTACATCCAGGATGGGAGCAGCACAGTAAGCACAGCGTGGAGAAAAAAGGTGGTGGTAGTCCTTGGGGCAGTAGGCCAAGCCACTCCGCTCAAAGAAGGGACTGGAGCCAATCTCCTTTTTGCAGTGAGCGCAGACGAAGTGCTCCGGATGCCATGCTTGCCCTAGAGCATGGATCACCTGGAGAACAAAACAAAGCCTGGCAAGCGGGGGGCCCAGTTGGGGGCTCTAGGGTCCACAGGGGGCACGGCTCTGGAGGGCGCTCTTCCAACAGTATTCCATGTAAACGACTCCCCCTGGAGTTACACAACACTGAGGCCTAGACCTAGGTTCTACCCATGTGGTCTCTTGTCCGTACTTTATGGATAGTAAAACAGTGCCCAACTTTCCTGAGTGATCACACTGAGAAAAGCCTATAAATGATCATTTCCACTATACTGCCCCAGAGGATGGGAGAAACAAAATGGAGCATAGTAGGGATGGACAAGAGATAACTAACTATATCTCGGCATGGAAGGGATCCCTGGAAGAGGAGAAGGCCAATGACAGTTTTTATTCCTCTGATCTGAACACCTCATCTCACACCCCATGCAAAATCAGGTCTTAAAGCCCTTTACTAAGGTTTTGGTGAAGGATGATGCCCAAGCAGGAGTTTGTGGCCATGATATGGAGACGAGTGCAGCTAAAAATCGAAATCAGTTGATTTACACCCAGAATGTCTGAACAGAGGGAGCAGTGAGAAAGTTCCTCTGGGTGAAGGCAGTACAAGAAAATGGTTAAGAGCTCACACTCGGGAGCCAGACTCTCCTGGGTTTGGATCTTACCTCTACCTCCTACTAGACCTTGGACATGTCAGTTAATGACCCTGGGTCCTCGGGTTCCTCATCTTTATAAAGGGCTTGTGACCCCTGAAGGGCTAACGTGACAATTAAATAAAGGAATACTTGTAAAGTGCTTTGTTCAGTGCCTGGAGCACTGTAAGGGATCAGTAACTATTACTAAACTGTCTTAGAATATAAGGAGAAAGAGCAATCCTTAGTGGGATGGAGACAGACATACACACAGACATAGACGGATGTAGGATCAACGTCTTGGCCTATCCCACCTTTCCAGCAATCGGTTTCCAGCAGGAAACACAATGGCCCTTGGGCACTGTCGCAATTCCAAGGTCCTGCAGTTCCTGCTCCAAGCCCCCCAGCATTGAGTCCAGGGAGGCCTTGTGATCCTGCTTGTCTGGTAAGTGTTTCTTGCTTGTATCTGCTTTCACTGTAACCTGTATCACGAAGAGAACCATAAAGAGACTCATCCTCACCGGCATCTTCTGCATGATCCCTTAGTCTTTTGCTAACCTTCCTCCAAGGCACTGGGAGAATCTAACATTGTAACACCAATAAAAATGCTTTCATTTCCTTTTCATTCTGAGTTCCTCAGGGCAAATGAAATCTGACTAATCTTCCTCTGTTTGCAAATCTTTTCTGGCAATAGGAAATTGAATATATGAAGATGATACTTTATCTCTTATGATGACTACAGGTCAACAATTAAACTTATCTTCTTTTTATTCACTTATTTTGCAATATTTATTGGGCACCTGGTTTGTGCCACTCACTGCTCTAGGCTCTTGGTATAGAACAATGTACGAGACCAACCAAGTGTCTGCCGTCATGCAGTTTACATTCTCTGGGTAATAGACAATAAGCAATTAAAGAAATAAATATATGATGTATATCTCAGGTGGAGATAAGCTTAAGTTATATATTGAGACAAATGACAGAGGGTGGAATGGAGAGGAAAAACTGATTTAGATGAGGGTGACCGGAGAAGGCTCTCTAAGAAGGTGATATCTGAGCAGATATTTGAGTGATGCACTGACATCTAGAAATATTGATATTTGTGGGAAAAGCATTCCAGAGGGAAGGAAGGCCCAGAGGAAGGAGACAGTCTGACACATAAAAAGAAAAGTAAAAAAGGTCAGTAGGGCTAGAGCAGAGGGAGTGAGTCAGGAAAAAATGATGGAAAAAGAGGCAAAGATCACAGAGGGCCCTCAGGATAAAAGCTGAAGTTTTATTCCAAGGGTGATGGAACCATTTTGTTTCAAGCATGAGAGTGAAAGAATCTGATTTACAAGATCCTTGTGGTAGCCGAGTGAGGAATTAGGTGTGCGCAAGCCAGAGTGGAATTAGAGGCACTAGTTAGGCAGGAGACCATTATAACAGCTCAAACTAGAAATGACTTGGACCAGTGTCAGTGGAGAAGGCGGTGAGAAGTTGTCAGATAAGACTTGCTGATGGATTGGATTTATTGAAGCAAAACTCCAAAACAGTTATTATAAAATGTTCAAAGGAAAAACCTCAAATTACAAAACAGAACAAATTACAAATTGCCCAACTTATCCTTCGTCAACTCTTGTCCTGAGATTCCATCTCTCTCAACTCCTTTCCAGCTGGGCTACTGCAACCATCTATCTAATACTTCCTGATCAGAGAACTACAATGATTCTCCAATGCTTCCAGCATGGATTTTTTTTTTTTTTTTGCAGTATGCGGGCCTCTCACTGTTGTGGCCTTTCCTGTTGCGGAGCACAGGCTCCGGACGCGCAGGCTCAGCGGCCATGGCTCACGGGCCCAGTCACTCTGCGGCATGTGGGATCTTCCCGGACCGGGGCACGAACCCATGTCCCCTGCATTGTCAGGCGGACTCTCAACCACTGCGCCACCAGGGAAGCCCCTCCAGCATGGAATTTGCAGCATCGGATGGACATTCAAAGTCTCCCATCCACTGCCCTCGCTTTACCTTTCCAATCTCATCTTTTATTCCTCAGTAAAAAGCCTCCATTGTTTAAAGCCAGCCAGGTTCCCTGCAGTCTCCTGAATGTGATCTGTTACTGTCTGCCTTCACGTCTCTACTTATCCACTTTTTACTGCCTGGAATAACCTCACATTATCTCACTAATCCAAAATGCTCATTTCCCTTCAAGAATCTTATCATATGACACATTTCCTTCCTCCTCTCATATAATGTTAGTGCCGAAGAGAGTAGTGTTCAAAAGGTTAACATGGAAAAGGCCTGAAAGCACCTAAGTAAAAACACAATAATGTATCTATAGCTACACATCGTACATTTACATCTATAGCTATTTGCTGGTATATTCCAGAATACTTTTGAAAGGGTATGTAAAAAGTAGAAAGATTTTTTTTCTAGTATTTTCAGATATACAGTGCAATGAGGAATGCACCCAGCTTTACTGTAGACATTAAAGAAACCTTGTTTCTGATATTCATTCATTTGTCCCTCTAATAAGTACGCATTATCCATAATGTATCAGGAACAGTGCTGGGCACTGGAAGTCCAAAGGTGAGCCACAGAGATAAGCTTCCTGCCCTTCCAATCACACACATTTTTATACACTGCCCTGAAATTATTTCATAGTCATTTCATGGGTGCATATCATATCCCCCAACCAATTCAGAATGGATGGATTCTCTACCTTAAGAATTCTAGCTCAATATTCTGTAATAACCTAAATGGGAAAAGGACTATATACTTGTATATGTATAAGTGAATCACTTTTTTGTACACCTGAAACTAACACAACACTGTTAATCAACTATACTCCAACATAAAATAGTTTAAAAAAAGAATGAATTCTAGATGATAATTCCCTTAATAAATTCTTAGGTCCATTTATGTCAGTTCCATTCCCTGCCAGGTCAGTGAGCTTGCCACCCATGCTCTGGAGACTAGAACAAGGGGGCAGATTTTATCTCAGTATGAGTTTAGGACTCATCCTTCCTACTGTCAAAGCCACACTTTGCTCTCCCTTGCCCTGACCCAGCTTTCCCACGGGTCTCCTCCATCCCACTCAGGGGGTTCTCTTTAACAGCCCTTCCACACTTTATCCAGCTTTAGTGGCAAACGATCTTTCTTTTATTCTATAAGTGTCACAGAGTCTTATGCCTCATTTTATCAAGCACACTCCAAGCCCCTTGAGATCAGAACCCATATCACAGTATCTTTTATGTCCAGATAATACACCTTAAAAAAACTGATACAGGGCTGCCCTCGTGGTGCAGAGGTTGAGAGTCCGCCTGCCGATGCAGGGGACACGGGTTCGTGCCCTGGTCCAGGAAGATCCCACATGCCGTGGAGCGGCTGGGCCTGTGAGCCATGGCCACTGAGCCTGTGCGTCCGGAGCCTGTGCTCCGCAACGGGAGAGGCCACAACAGTGAGAGGTCCGCATACCGCAAAACAAACAAACAAAAAAACGGATACAAATGAACTTATATACAAAACAGAAATGGACCCACAGACATAAAAAGCAAACTTATGGTTACCAAAGGAGTAAAGGGGTGGCGGGGGGTAAATTAGGAGTTTGGGATTAACATATACACACTACTATATATAAAACAGATAACCAACCAGGACCTGCTGGATAGCACAGGGAACTATACTCAATATTTTGTAATAACCTATAAGGGAAAAGAATCAGTTATATACACACACACACAACTTAATCACTTTGCTGTACCCCTGAAACCAATACAACATATTGTAAATCAAGTATACTTCAGTTTAGAAGAAATACATAGTACAAATTTGAGTTCATCCATTGAATTAAATTTAGTATGGCAAAATGAATAATGACTTAGGAGAGTTTCTCAAGGGGGAATGCAGAGCTGAGTTCACAGAGATAAGACCCTGAAGGCTGTATCGCAGGGACTGTGCTCACCTGGGTCTGCATTTCACACAGGTGGGCCATCAGCTCCTCCAACTGCACAGCTGCTGAGGTTTTAGGAGGTGGTGGTGATTCCTTTGGCTCCTGGACCTCACTATAGGGAGAAAACAAAAAATCATACCAACACATCAAACTCAAATAAATGTTAGGCCATGTATAAAGTACCAGAAAACGCAGTTTTAACTATTAACCCCTTAGATATGACTAAAACTAGAGACAGAGACTATTTTTCAAAAATAGGTACTAAACATCTGAACAAGGTCTCCCTGCCTTTGTCTCCATGTCTCCCTCTGGTCGTCTCAAAAACGGACTATTGTTCTCAAGTGCATGAAGAAAAGTGCCGGACCTATAGCTGGGTGGCCATTCTCCCCCAACAACCAGGAAAAAAGCAGCCTCTGAAAAGAGTTTGAAGACCACGGTCCAATGTGTATTTTTTATTTTAACAGCATTCTTTTTAAAATTATAGGGCTTCCCTGGTGGCACAGTGGTTGAGAGTCCGCCTGCCGATGCAGGGGACGTGGGTTCGTGTCCCGGTCCGGGAAGATCCCACATGCCGCAGAGCGGCTGGGCCTGTGAGCCATGGCCGCTGAGCCTGTGTGTCCGGAGCCTGTGCTCCGCAACGGGAGAGGCCACAACAGTGAGAGGCCCGTGTACTGCAAAAAATAATAATAATAATAAAATAAAATTATAAAGTATTATATCTTCTTTCAGTTACTGTCAAGTGAAAGACAAAAAATAAATATATAATATACATACTATATATTTATATGTTTAATATATATTTATATATATTTATATAACATATATATTTATATATATTTATATATATATTTATATAATTTTATATATTTATATAATATATAAAATACATAAAAATAAATAAATACAGAGAAGACATTGGTCCATGGGCCCCAGAAACAGTAAACAGAGTTTTATTCAAATACCTGCATAATCATTAGTAAAATGAACCACATGTGAGGACACAAAATAGAGTCTAATAAATTCTAAGAAGTAAATCATACAGACCATATTCTATCTACTTAAGTAAAAATAAAGTAATTCTAAGTAATTCTTGGGAGAAAGAAAAAATTAACAATTTTCAAACTATTTAGAAATAGCTATAAAATCACACATGCTCTTCAGAGTTGAAAGCAAAATGTTATTGAAAGGAAAAATATAAATAGACTTAGGTGCAATATTGAAAAATAAAAAAGACCAGAAGCAAATGAAACATCCAACTCAAGACTCGCAAAATATAAAATAATAATTAAACAGAAGGAATAAAAGCATAAATCAATTAAACAGAAAACAAGTCAAAAAAACTAACAGCTTTTTGGGAGCGTTGTGTAAATTACCAAGTACATAATAAAATATGGAAATATCACCCAATAGGTTCAATGAATATCTCAGAAACTTGGTACTAAAACCAAAGACAGAATGGTGTACGTGTGTGTGTGTGTGGTAGTGTGCACACCAGTCATCCAAGAATGGTTCAACGTTACAAAAAGGATTATTATAATTCACTATACTAACAGAAAAAGAGAAAATCTTTATAAACATACTGAGAAGTACTGAAAAGCAATTGAAAACAAATTTAACCACCATTCCTGTTGTTGAAGATCGAGGAGAAGAAAAATTCTATAACCTGACAAAATATGTCTATAAAAATCTATAACAAGCCTCATATTTAATAGTCAAATACTAAACACATTTCTAATTAAGGGAAGAGGAGGACAAGGCTCCTACTGTCATTGCTAGTCTCCAATATTATTCCAGAATGCATTAGCAAATGCATTTAAAAGTAAAAATAAGAGTTTTATATATTTTAAAGAAAAACGTAAAGCACTCTCACTCTTTTTAAATATATAATAATATTCCTATAAAATGAGAGATAAATGATATAACAACTATTATAATGAATTTTTAAAAATCAGGATGGCTACAAGATACAAGAATAAAATGAAATAATTAGTGTCTTTCCTATAGACCAGGGGTAACTGATTTGAAAATCCAATGAGGAGGAAAATGTGTTCACAATACCAAGAAAAAAATATATTAAGTATTAAAGAATAAATCTAACAAGAAATGTGTAAGATTTCTATGAAGAAAAATCACTAAAAAGACCTACCTAAATAAAGATGCATAATATGATGTCAGTTTCTCCCAATTAAACTATAAATTCAATGTAATCCATACAAAAATTATAATCGAATTATTCAAGTCCATAGGCTGATGCTAAAATTCAATACAAGCGAGAACACTCAAGGCAATTTTGAAGGAAAAAAAAAAAAACAGGGATAACTTGTCCCAGTAGATGCAGTATCCTATAGAGTGATAATAATTTAATTTGTGTGATGTTGGTAAAGAAACAGACAAGTAGATCAAAAGTAGGGTAGACTAGAAAACCCAGAAACAGACTCTGGTACCTATGAGCACTTTGCATATGGTAAACATGGCATTTCAAATAATCAGAAACAGACTATTAGAATCAAGGTACATGATAACCTATTTGGAACACAATACACACTGTACACACAAATGTGTTTTTAATGAATTCAAGATATAAATGTTTAAACAAAAATACTAGAAGAAAATGGAGGATTTTTTAATAATTTGGAGTGATAAAGACTTTCCTAAGAATGGCATAAAACTGAAGTGATGTCAAAAAAGAAAACATATTGATAAAGATAGTATTAAAAAATTTAACATGAGTAAATATTTAAAACATAAACAATATTCAAATATTTAAAAGTTGATTAATCAATAGTAAAAATATAACCCAAGAGAAACCTGAGCTAAGGATTTTTTAAAAAGTAAGTTTCAGAAAAAGAAATTTGAATGTTTACTACATAAAAATATACTCAATCTCAATCTTTAATATGGAAATTAAATGGTGAGATACCATTTTTTTCCCGTGATTCAAAGTTTTGAAAGATTGACAATATGCAGTGTTGGCAAAAGTCAGGGTTATATCTACACAGATACATTTACATATATTATAGGTAGCTACATAAATTATAAAACCCTTTGCAAGGCAGCATCTATCAATATTTCAAATGCATATGCCCTTGGATGCAGCAATTTCACTTCTAAGACTCTACCCTACAGAAAAATTGGACATATCTATAAAGATATACGTACAAGAACATTCCTTAAAACACAAAAACAGAATAGTTTTTATGAGCAAATTGAAACTAAACTAAATGAAAATATAGTCAAATAAATTATGGTCCACCCATGCTATAGAATAACCCTGCAGGTGCTAAAAAGAATGCCGACATAGAATTTTATGAACTAAGGAAGACTTCTAATTCGTATTGTTAACTTAAAAAAGCAAGGCCCAGAACAGTATGAAAAATATTCTTCCATTTATGTAATTTTAAAAGCACAGATACATAAGTATGAATATGCATACACAAAGGTCTGTAAGAAGACATACCTACCGGCACAGTTACCTAAGGAGCTGGTAATTAGGTGGTGGGAGGAAAGACTCTTCTGGAGGTGGTCTCACATCTTACCCTGTATATCTCGCATTTCTTTGACTATTTTTTTTTTTGGTGGTGCCAGCGTGGCTTGCGGGATCTTAGTTCCCCAACCAGGGATTGAACCCGGGCCCAGCAGTGAAAGCAGAGTCCTAATCACTGGACCACCAGGGAAGTCCCTTCTTTGACTTTTTTTAAAGACTATTTTTTAGGGCAGTTTTAGGTTTACAGCAATATTAAGCAGAAGATACCTCTCTGACTTTTTATATATGTGAGTTTATAAAATAATTGTGTACATGAAGTTGTATTTTCAAAACAAAGGTCCTCTATACTAGAAAAGAAACAATGATGAAAACAGGTGAGGCGGTAGGGGTGGCAGATGGGGCATCAGCAGTACAATTCTCACGTGTATCTTAGTTATACACACATGCACACATTCATAAATAACGATTCCATAAACAACCTTCCATATACTACATTAATACAGTTACACTGTTGTGAGTCCTACTAAAATTATTTTTAAATATAAAATTAATATGTTAAATGTAGAACATTTTAAAACTGCAGAGGAATACAAAGAAAAAACTAAACCACACATAATCTTCCTTTTGAGAGGCAGTTAATTCTCTAGACATGCTGGCTTACACTTTTACACTCTTCTGTGATTGTGTATGATTTTAGAAAATTTGAATATTACTGTTTTTTTCATGTTTTAAAGTTAACATTTTTCCATATCCTTATGCACATTCTTATCTTTGCAAACGTAATAGTTAACATTTATTGAGTGTGTATACTACACCAGGCACTCTGTAAAGGGTTTTACACATGTTCTCTTTAAATCCTCATAAAAACCTTAAAGGTAAGTTTTATCACTCCCAGATGAAAAAACTGGGGCCTAGGGAAGTTAAAAACTTTGCTCTACCCAATACAGATGGCAAATAACAGAGTTTGGGCCTGCAGACTGTGAAGCTTTTGTTTTCTATCACTAAATTATCTTTTAAAATGATATATAAAGGCTATATAGTTTCCAAATGCATAATGTGCCATAATTTATTAAATCAATCACTTATTGTTAGACACCTAGATTGCTTCTGATTTTCACTGTTATAATCAACACTGCTACATAAATATTTGATATTTATTTCCATAGAGTACACTCTGAGAAGTGGAATCACTGGGTTATATAGGTAACTGACTCTGGAATAATGTTTGCAATCAACATTAACCAAGAAGCTTAGCTAACACCCACCAAACTGTGTGTGTGTGTGACAGAGACACAAACACACACACACACACAAAGCAATAAATAAAACCAAATATTCTACGTCTTTCACTAAATATATTTTCAAAAATGACAACAAAGTCTTACTACTTTACTTATTTTTATGTATTTATCAGCTAGGGAAAAATTAGAAGGAAGATGCTTATCGTCCTCTCTTAAGAAAAAAAGACTATCTCTTGGGTACAACAGGTCCTGCTACTGACTCAGTTTGAGCATTTAACAAGGAAAATTTAGGAGGAAGTGGATCTCTTCCCTTCTTAAAAGACTTTGCCTTTTAGGTACAACATGGCCTCCTGCCCCACATAAGTTTGGGTTGTTTTTTTGTTTTTTTGGAGTAGGGGTGTTTAATCTAAGAACAAAAATGGTCAGGTGACTGATTACAAGTGACTGATTTAGTTCTTGGAGGCTTCCAACAAAGTCCGGAGGCGCTCTCTCTCACAACTCTTTTCAGGCATAATCCCTTAGTAATTGCCGCCACAGGCATGTGTCTTAGAAATACAAAAGGCAGCGGGACTGGGAACACATTCTTCTGCCCTGTGCCCCAGTGTAGGATAAATGTAGTTTCTTATATGGGTCTGTATAATCATAAAAACCTGTCCATCTCACAGGTGGGGTATACTTGTGCTTATTGAAAGAACTCTTACTGGTTTCTAACTAGACTCCTAGTGCAGTGTATAAAGAGAAACAGATCATTGCCAAAATACCCTAAGAGTAATTGAGTCAACAATATAAACTTCTAAATAAGAAATAAGAGACCTTGAAGAGTTGATGTTTGCCTCACTACAGGAAATGTTTGTGAAAAGAGAGAAACCTCAAATCAGAGCTCCTTTGATTTGTCCCCAGACCTATTGAAGATGATACAGGCGCTTAGCATGCCATCAGCAACAACTTCATTACTCGGAGGTTTTAATAATACAAATACAAGAGATGCGTTTAAAAAAATCCAGACTTCTCAAGTGAGGGGCTTCAATTTTTTTCCCCATTCATTCCTCTGCAATATTTTTATGAAGTCTCCCTCCCTATTCTTACCAAAATTCTTTCTGTTCATATAAAAGATACATTTCTAAATACTATCATACTGTTATATTCATGACTAGTATTTCAAGGTATTGGTACTTTTAAAGTTGAAACGAATGTTTGGTTAATTTAAGCAAGCCAGAGGAAATGGTGGAAACAATGCAGGAATCTTGTTTCTGTGTCTCACGCTCCATCTGTACACGTGAGCCTTGCTGGCTCTGAATTATACCAGCCTCGGGTTTGCATCAGTCCATTACATATTTACTAGGCCACCTGGATTTCATATCACTCTCCCACTCGGATCTACACAGTAAGTATCATTCAGTAATGGTTAAGTACATCGATCAAGGTCCACTCAGGAAAATACAAACACTAGGAGTAAGAAGAAGGAATTTAATCCAGAAATTTGATTACACAGGTGATGGGAGAGCTAAGAAGCAAACAGAAAACAATGAGGGAACCCAGAGATTAGCTACAGCAGGAAGCCATGAGGCCAAAGGGACAAAGCAAAGAGGCAAAGTTACCAGAGCCCAGGAGCCCAGGTTAACAGGCATAAACTGGAACCACGGCAGACCTGTTTTTCTCCAGCTGAAGCCATAAAAGTAGATATAACTGCTGACAGAGACACTGTGGAGAGAGAGATTGGGGGAGCAAAGGCCCTAAATTTCCCTGCCTTTCACCCTCCAGTCTCTCCACAGTGCCTCCCATTGGTTGAAACCAGTAAAAGCCTACAGACCCTGGAGCCTGGAAAACCCAACCTGCAGGGTTCAGCTCCCCTGGAGTACAGAGCAGAGCAAGAGAAGAGGGAGAAAGGGGTCTGATGGAAAATAGATCACAGATTTGTAGTACAGAGGAGGGGGTGTCAATAAGTTACCACTGGCATGCCATCAACTGATCACAATGCCAGATATACAGGAAAATGGCTGTTGGTTGGGCTGGTTCTCATCGTATACATTCCTGTGTTTATTAGTATTTCCATTAAAGTCTTGGTTTTCTCAATTTAAAAAAAAATCAGTATTAACTGAGAGCCTATTGTGTACCAGGTACTGTTTTGTTGTTGTTGTTGTTTTGCTCTGTTTTCATTTTTTTACAAGGGGGAGAGACAGGAAGGCCTATGAGACACACCCGCCAGGCAGCTTCCTAGAACTGGAATAAGCTGGCATGTGTATTAGTAAACTGGCTTCACTCCCGTCAAAGTAGAAAGTGCCTTAAAGTGGGGGGTTGTAAAAAGACTTCAAAAGATAGCACAGGTCCTTCCCGTATTTTTACACCGTGTGTGCCCTATTGGTTGCAATTCTGAGACCAAGTCATATGTGCTGTAGTACTCTTCACCAAGCATGGACCTTCACTATCTACATTTTCAACCTTTGTTTCCCAGAATGCTGTCTCACTTTTTTTTAAAAATTGCAAGCTATAACTGAAGAGAGACAGGAAAAGTGGCCTTTTAATTTTTTTAGACTGTCAATTCTGCTTTGGCCAGAAGAGATAATTTAGTAAGTGGATCTGTTTCAATATGTAACTTTTATTAAAAGGAAATCCCTCCATCACTAAATACATTTTGAGCAAATATGGAAAGAAGTATATATTCATTAATCTTCCATGGAGACACACTGTTTTAGTGCAGCCCTGATCCTAGGTCTGATTTTGTCGGCACCCTGCTGAAATTTCTTTAGGTGTTTTCTCTTTTGTGAACTGAAGCATGATATCTGAAATGGCTGGGCCAAAACATCTGTGGTGACTTGGACTATTTACACTTTTTCAGGTGGTAAAGGAAATAGCAGAGCCCACCAGCCTGGACAACCCATCTAAAAGCCAGGCTCCTTGAGAAAGTGCCAAGTCAGCTGGGCAGAAATCCACCTCCGCTCACAGATCATGGAAAGAGGGGGAGGGTAGTAGGAATCCTAATAATAAACACCTACAAAGCAAATTATGGTCCAAACACAGGTGATAACAATTATCTAATAAACTTAATTTTTTAAATATTTAATTAAAAAAATACCTGTGGACATGGGGCTCCTGGATTTTGGTAGTACACACGAGCTGCACCTAAGACATATAAGTGAACGAGAAGAAAGAATGAATTTCTGTTGGATGCTGGATAAACAAGGTCCTACTGTATAGCACAGAGAACTATATTCAATACCCTGATACTAACACACCACTGTAAAGCAATTATACTCCAATAAAGATGTTAAAAAAAATATACTGTGGGGCTTCCCTGGTGGCACAGTGGTTGAGAGTCTGCCTGCCGATGCAGGGGACATGGGTTCGTGCCCCGGTCCGGGAAGATCCCACATGTCGTGGAGCAGCTAGGCCTGTGAGCCATGGCCACTAGGTCTGCGCATCCGGAGCAACGGGAGAGGCCACAACAGTGAGAGGCCCACGTACCGCAAAAAAAAAAAAAAAAAAAAAAAAATATATATATATATACTGTGATAAACCATAATGTAAAAGAATACAAAAAAGAATACGTATGTATATGTATAACTGAATCACTTTGCTGTACAGCAGAAATTAACACAACATTGTAAATCAACTATACCTCAATAAAATAATTTTTTAAATAAAAAAAAAATGTTGGTACTTATCTACACCCAGAGTTAGAAGATGTTTTTACCTTCTAAAGGGGACGATAACTAGCCTATCTCTGAAATCTCCTTTCACAAGGCAGAGGAGTACCAGTCATCCCACAGAGAAAGGCCAAATTCTAAGCACAGTAGCTGGCATGTGAACAAATACGGTGTCCCCCTCCCTGCCCTAAAAGCACTGACATAGAGAAGTCATGGTACTCAGAAAAGAACCATAAGACAAACAAAATGAGTCAGAGCAAAGCCCCTTTAACTAGACAGGATGGTGTCTAGGGGAAGACTATAACACAATTAAATTTAACATACCAAAAGAAATAATGAGTAACTCTAAAGGGTAGTTGGCCAGTAGTTTATTTCACGAACAAATATTTATTGAGTGCCTGTCATGTGCCAGGGCTGGGGATGCAGGAGTCAACAAACAAAACAAAACAAAGGAACAGAAATGGTTCCTGAGCCTTACATTATGGTGGTGAGAAACAGATAATAAATTAATATGTAAAAAAATAATACAAATTAATGAAGGGTAGGAGATAAGAAATGGGGGAGGGATGGCATTTATAAATGTATTGGTTGGGGAAGGACTCACTGAGAGAGGGGCACTTGGACAAGGGCTTATAGGGGGTGAGGGAAGCATGCAGGTATCAAGGGTAACATGATCCAGATAGACAGCACCCTGCAGCATCTATGGAACAGATAGGAGGCGAGTGAACCAGTGAGATAGGGGCAAAGAGTATAAGCGGCCAAGTCATGCAAGTAGGGTGACCATATAATTCATTATTCAAACTGGGACACCTGTGAGAGTGAAAGAGGGGACTAAAAAATAATTAATATTACATTAATTTTTTTAATATGTGTTTATGGACCAAAAATTTTATTTTATTATATTGGTGAACCAATAAACTAATTCTATTCAAAATAAAATTTTCTAGAATATTTTTAAATGACACACAGCTATGAACATGAAAGCCAAAAAATTTTAAACCTTTCATATTGCTTATTGAAACATTTAAAAATAGCATAAGTAAATAATTATTCTTGAGATATAGATATATTTATATATACCTTAATTGGCTACTTAGCCATTGTTGCCTTTAACATTGTGATGTGAAAATTTTTCTGAAAAATGTCTTTCTTTTCAACATGATCTTATTTATTTTTATATTTTTTATAAAATTGCAATCCTCTACAAAGCTTCATTTTATGGTTAGTATATTTGAAATTGTTGACACTGCTTCTCCATAGCCCATAATAGTTTCAACTGAGAAAATACTCTCTCTCCAGATGCTGATGAACCTATACGTTCAGAGCAGATTCTGCTAAATGGAAGCTATTCTGAATTCTATTTTTTATATTAAAATATGTAATTATTTCAGCTCCAATATTTTCACATGTGCTGTATTTCTGCCTCCATTCGGCCCACCTTTCTTCAATAATATTTTTACAGGACAGAGCTCTTAAATTGTCTCTATTTGTGATGCCTTTTAACACTTCATCAAATGTAGATACTGCAAAATCACAGGCCTTTACAATTTCATCCCATTCTGGTGGGAATATAAATTTATCCAATTAAGATCAGGAGGTCCATCAAAGTCAAGATGTTTCCAAAGCACGATTTTCAAGTCAGGTAATTAAACCATTTGAACCCTCATCTTTTGATTTGTTGAATTCCTCCCAGGCTTTTATAGGGAGAAATCTGAGCTTCTTCCTTTTTGTAAGCTTTGTTTCACATAATTGCAACTTGTTAAAAACTTCAAAAGCTGACTTTTCATGCTACATTCATTGAATAATTTGATTAAATATTTCCAACTGATTTTGCACATAATGTGGCCTAAATTTAGGCTGCTTTACAAAGTGGTTTTTCAAAGGCTCAGGCTCACAGGCAATGAAGAGAGAAAATACATACAGCCACGCTAATATATTTTTACATTCAATAAGAGCTTCTGTCACAAAAGTTTTGTAGATGAGCTATATATATACTCTGATTGTGTACAAATATACATACATATATAATTTGTAAATTTTAATAATTGCAGTTTCTATTTTGATTGGTGAAATACTAAAGCTTATTTGGATGCAGTCATGAATTTTGTGCATATCACAACCAATTCCAAGTACATATCTGCTCCATAGGCTTTTAAGTATGTAAGAACATTGATTTTACCACTATGCTCTGCTCCACCAAAATCTGTATTAGTATTATCACCCCCCCAAAACAACATTTTATCTCCATTGCTGAACTTTTCAACTAAATTTACAATGGCATTAACAATCTCATTTTAGACAAAAGAATGAACTTCTAAATATTTTGCTTTGATTCTTTGAATTGGATGTAAAAATTAAACCATTTTGAAATTAAATTTTCTAATTGAGGTCTCTAATTGATTTAATCTGGTATTATTATTTTTAATCTGGTATTATTTGATGGCTTGCAAAGGGAATCAATTAATTTTTTTTTTTTTTTTTGCGGTACGCAGGCCTCTCACTGCCGCGGCCTCTCCCGTCGCAGAGCACAGGCCCCGGACGCGCAGGCCCAGCGGCCATGGCTCATGGGCCCAGCAGCTCCGCGGCATGTGGGGTCTTCCCGGACCGGGGCACGAACCCGTGTCCTCTGCATCGGCAGGCAGACTCTCAACCACTGCGCCACCAGGGAAGCCCCGGGAATCAATTAATTAATCATCACCAATTCACTTTACTTACAAGCACAAGAAAACTTGGAATTGAAAATGAGCAAAATTAATTTAGAAGAGTAATTTGATCCAAATGGAAAGGTGTGCTTTTCAATGACATGTAAACATACCTCCTGCAGCTTCACATATTGAATTATCACCTGCTGGCCCATTCTTCTTAAATTAGACATTAATTTTTGAAGTAGATCCTGATGCTTCTTCCCCATAGTTGTGTCTTGTGGTTTTCAAATGGACAGTGATAATTCTATTCCCCCCACAGTGGATGGTAAACGTTAACAAATACTTAGATTACACATCCATTATCAACTTTATTTTATTTTATTATTTTTTTAATTTGGTGGCTCTGAGTCTTAGTTGCGGCAGATGGGCTCCTGAGTTGCAGCACGCGAGCTCTTAGTTGCGGCATGCATGTGGGATCTAGTTCCCTGACCAGGGGTCGAACCCAGGCCCCCTGCATTGGGAGTGCAGAGTCTAAACTACTGCACCACCAGGGAAGTCCCATCATCAAGTTTCTTGAGACAATTAAACGTGCAGCTTTGGTTTCGGTTTGAGCCAAGTTTCTTGAGACAATTAAACGTGCAGTTTTGGTTTTGGTTTGGTTTGGTTTGGTTTTTGGTTTGGTTTGTTGCAAAATTTAAAAGCATTACCAAATAATAAAACTAACAGTCATAGCTTTAATATACAATTAGTGACAAAACTGATTTAACAAGAACATTTAGATTATACTGTACTCTATGGCAAGAATGCTCAGTCTCTATTTCCTAGACACAACTTCTATGACCTTAAGTCACAATTTTCGATATTTCTTTCTGACCCTGAAGAGGCTCCCTGCATCTCACAGACCACCACATGGACCACAGCACAGCATGAGTGGTGTTATACCAAGTGGCCATCAGGGGAAAAAAAAAAACCTCAAGGTTTTTCCTGCCACTACCTGAGACCAGAGGAGTTAGCTGCCCCTGACGGCTGTGCTTGAACTCTTAGCTTTAACGGCCAGCACCTTGCATATTATCCTTCAAAGGGAGCTGTCAGTTAGATTTTGTCTTATCAGGATCAGGAAATGAGAGACAAGTGGTCATTAGTCTTTTAGATCCAGCTACAATAAAATAAGAACTGTTCACTGCACGTGTGTTTTATATGCTACTACATGAGACTGTGAGAGAAGCCAGAAGAACCAAATGGAGGTCTATTAATCCATGCTGGTTTACTTTAACGCAAATACTTATTTTAAAAATTTCACACACAAAAAAAATGGAAAATCTGGGGTAAAAGGTAAAGTCAGTAACAGGATGTCAAGAAAATAAGCATAAACCCAGGCTCCTCCAAGGGAACCAAGACGTAGGTCACCCCATAAAGTCAGTGTAAAGACTGTGGCTTTTATTCCAAATGAGATGAGAATTCATCTTGGGGTGCTGAGTAGAAGAATAAGATGACCTGATTTAAGTTTTACAGGATTATCCTGGCTGCTTTTTGGAGAATAAATTGCAGGGGGGCGGTCAGGATAGGGGATCAGTTAGGAATCTATGGCTATAATCTCACAGTGAGAACAAAGACAATAGCTCCTTAGGAGAGAGATAAATGTGTGTCCTTAAAACTGTATGTATGTAGCTGGAAGGAAGAACAGTTAAAAGGGAAACCTACCCATAGGCTCAAATTTCAAGTCTGTGCTACTAGTGATTTCCTTTAGTGTACAAGGATGAATCAGAATATCATAGTTGAGAAACACCAGATATGAAGAGCACCTACTTAATTCCTCTTACACTAATCCATTCTCATCAAGTAACCTTCTAATCAAAGTAGATGCATGTAGACTTATCCATAGGAAGGGAATACATATATCAGCAAATACTAGTATCTGTTCTACTTGATAGTTTAAACTCTAACCAGAAATTAATAAATTGGATTTCTGGGGGGTTTTTATATATAATCTTTTATAAGTTTAGTTTGTTTGTGATGGTTCCCTAGAGCTTCGTCATCTCTAGATATACTAATTGAATTTCCTAATATATTCAGCAGAAAATAAGAGCTGGAAAGTGGCTATCCTAAAAAATCCTAAGAAGATCTGGCTGAGCTGCTGCCTGGCCTTGCCCAGGTGACCTCTGGCCTTACTGAGTGCCAGTCCAGTCAAACTGCAACATGCATCTCTGATACCCAGATGGTGATATCAGAATATCCCAAGTGAATTAGGGAATACTCTGCCTGTTACCAGGCCCTCAGGAGAAGAAAAAAAAAAAGTTCTCAAAGGTTTATTCTTTTATGATGATTTTTCTCCATTCTCCTCTTCTTTCTGAAAACAACCACCTTTAACTTATCATTGAGTGATTCTTTTCTCTTTCTTGGATATATGATTTTCCTTTTGCATCATTTTATGTAAGATACAATTAATTTCCAGAAATGCACTCAAATATCTTTATTCAAGGTACTCCAATAAATGAAAAGTTACCGGAAAGGGACTTGAGTCATCCGGAATGGAAGGGGCACTTGAGGTCTCATCATGGTTACTCTCCTTTCTGGAATGCTGATCCAGGGGAGGAGAAGCTGTGTTGGAGTGTTCATCACTCTCCTGGAGGGTGGAGTATTCCAGTTCCTCCAACAAGGCATCTATATCAAAAGATACAAGGGAATCGTGACATAGAATATGTACGTTTTCTGGAAAAATTATCCTCTTAAATAGCCCCACTGTGCCTCCATTCATCTCCCTCTTCTCTTGGGTCTTAAGAGAAGGCTAAATTCAAACATCCTCCCTTACTCCTTATTTGACTTCAAGAATATGGTCTATTCTACCAGGAGATGTTTAATGCCCTCTGCATACTGTAGCCTGCTTCTTATTTCCTATGGTTGCATTCAATTTCATAGTCTTATTCTACAATTTGACTTTTTATATTGCAGCATATTCATTTTTATCATTTATTTAGAGTGGATCACCCATGAAGATCTCCAATTAGAAAATGTAAATGCTACATATTTTTTCCCATCAGAAAAATATATGCAATTATATTACAGTTTTCCAAAACATACCTGTACAGTAAAACTTATTCTTAATCCTGTTAATTTTTTTTCTTATATCCCAGCACATAACAAAATTCTCCAAGCAAAGTATAAGTATTCTGTCATTTAAGGTGTGGGGAGAAAAAGGGATTAGAGGGGAAACAGATGTTGCAAAGTCAAGCAAGATGCTGCAATCCAAACAGCTGAGATTTGTTTCTCTCGTAGTTTCCTTGGGAAAAACCAAAGGACTTTATTGTATGAGTATTACACTGTTACCTTTCTGTTTTGAGGAAATTAATATTAGTAATAAAATTAACACAGGACAGGCATTGTGCTCAGGAGTGTATATACTTCTTATATATTTAGTCATCCTAATGCTTTGAGGCAAGTGATAGCATTGTCCTTATTTTGTAGATTAAGAAAGAGACAAATACCTTGTTTAAGGCCACACTGCTACTGAGTGCAGAACCTGGCTTATCCTGGACTATCTGATCCCTGGCCCCTGCAAGTCAGAAATTCCAGACCCCATTCCCATGTGGATTCTCTGGATCATCTTGGCATGACACTTTCTTTTCTGAAGCTGTCTCCTCATCTACATAATAAAGCAATTGTATCACAACAGTATTTTTTTAAATTGTGGATCGAGACCCACTAGTAGATCTCCAGTGGATACCTTACCACAGATTGTAGTTTTTCAACTTTGCAAAACACTGGATTATATTATTTCTAAGGATCTGCCTAGCTCTAAAGTCTTCAGATGAGGAAAATGAACTTTACAGGTCATTAAAAAAAAGATTTTATTTCAGATATTCGGGGATGGGTATTTCTTAATGGCATAAGAAAAGATCTAAACATTTCTTACAAATGAAATCCTCTACAGATCTTTCTCAAGAATCTAGCTCACAAATATAATGAATTTTATGCACCATTTTAGAGATAAGCAAACTGAGCTAAGCTCTTCAGGGCAAATGATCCTTCAACAAATAAACTGTAATGGAAAAGAAGAGATAGAGGGGGAACCAATAGGTTAAAAGAGACATAAGAGGCTTACAACTGATTTCAATGTATGATTCTTAAATAAACAAGCAAAAACCAAACAAAGAAAGAAACAATTAGTAATACTGAACAGTGACTGAAAATTCAATAAGTAGTAAGTACTGTTAACTTATTTTAGTTGTGATAGGATATTTGATAATATTAAGTAATTTCTGTTAATATTTTGGGTGTGATAATCGTATTTCATGACATTAAGAAATTACTATTAAGGATATTATGGATATGATAATGGTATTATGGTTATTTGTATAAATGTATATATATATATTTATGCTGAAATATTTACATATGAAATGATACAATGTGTGAAATCACTTTAAAATAATCTAGGAATGGAAGGAATAGGTGGATGTATACATGAAATAAGATTAACCAAGAGTTGATAATTGTTTAAGGTGATTGATGGGTACATCAGATCTCTTTAACTATTTTCTTTCCTTCTGTAAATTTTTAAATTCTCTATAATAAAAGGTTTTTAAAAAGAAGAGGAAAGAAAAGAAAAAGTAAGGTAGAAATAGAAAGTAAAACTTTTTCTCCCAGGACTTTACTAGCCAAACTGAATGCCAAATCTCTGAGTTCCAAATTTTTATTCTATAGCCCTCTATTAAGATATAGCTTCTTTCTTTTCTATTTCCTAAGCTTTGCTCCAAACAGAAGTCATGGTTCCTCTTGGATTCAAAATAAAAAATTGGGACTTCCCTGGTGGCGCAGCAGATAAGAATCTGCCTGCCAATGCAGGGGACACGGGTTTGATCCCTAGTCCAGGAAGATCCCACATGCCGCAGAGCAACTAAGCCTGTGCACCACAACTACTGAGCCTGCGTGCCTAGAGCCCACGCACTGCAACTAAGAGTAGCCCCCTCTAGCCACAACCAGAGAAAGCCTGAGCACAGCAACGAAGGCCCAATGCAGCCAAAAATAAATAAAATTAAATCTTAAAAAAAAAAAAAGGCATTTACAATAAAGATGAGGGGAGAGGGAAGACCCTCTCCAAGAGAAGCAAACCATACCACTAGGAGTAGAAGGTTACCCTTAGAAGCGCCAGCTAACCAGAGCTACTAAAACTCCTTTCTGGGTCATGAGTTAACAGGCCTTTCTCTTCCTGTTTCCTATGAGTGTACATATCACCAACACCCGGAGATTATCTCCTTTTGGCCAGATGCTGTGATTTGAAGTTGACTAATTTCAGCATGACAAATATGGGATTACTGGTGCAGGGTAGGGGGTATCAGACTGAACACGCTGCAGTCCATTTTCATAGCGCCTCATCTGTGGAAATCAAACAGTGTCAACATTCACAGGAAGGGAAGTAAGTGAGGTGTCTTGAAGGTCTCACTAGACTGTAACGACTTCATTCAGAGCCAGAGTCTGCTCCCGCTTCCCCTTTATCTAGCATCCCCATGTAATGAGGGTTTAGGTAAGACTTTCTGGGTGGATATAAACTACTAACCTTGGGGGCAGTACTGCAGAGAGGAAATATTGGCGCGCCTGGGCTGACTTGTCCTCCATGCTATTTCTCCACATTGGAGAAGAAACACCCACCCTAAGTCTTTTGGGTGGTTATTGAGCTGATGACAGTTTGAAGAAGCGATTGAGGTATAGCTATTAACAGCCTAATGATGTTTAGCCACCTGGATAACATACATGAATGTTACCTTCCAGGCCACTTGGTACTTTCCACATTCCTGGACCAAATTTCTCATTCACCCTGCTGAGGAAATGCAAAACTGCACAAATCTACTTTTTAAAAAAATATTAAATTATCTGAGTTATCCTATTGGCTGGAACACCAGAGCCAACAAACTGCTAAAATGGGAGAACACCTTGTCACTTAATCGGTTTTGGTGTCAGATGCTCCTACGAGTGACACTGAACAAGTTATTTTGTTTTTCTTAGTTTTCTCATTTGAAAAAAAACAGTGGATAAAACCTATCTCAGAAGGTTGCTTGGAACACTAAAATGATTAACATATGTACAAATGTATCTTAAGTCACTGAATAAGCATTACTCCCCTTGCCGATTACCTACATTAAAGCCATGAGGTAGCCCCAAAATAAGAAAGCAGAACTGGACTCTGGAGGAACTTGTACAGAAATGTGAACTTCTCCAAACTTCACACAGGATAAGAACTGGGAGTGTACCCCAAATCCAAAATATATTCTACTCCAACTATCAAAATAGGCTTTATTTCCAAAACAGTTCAATATTTATTAAACATTAAATACCCTTCTCCTTCACATCTCTTCCCTCCTGTAATTTGCCTTCCTTCCTTCCTCTACTCCTCCAGCTCTCAAAATACATTTTTTTTTTTTTTTTTTTTTTGCGGTACGCGGGCCTCTCACTGTTGTGGCCTCTCCCGCTGCGGAGCACAGGCTCCGGACGCGCAGGCTCAGCGGCCATGGCTCACGGGCCCAGCCGCTCCGCGGTACGTGGGATCCTCCCGGACTGGGGCACGAACCCGTGTCCCCCGCGTCGGCAGGCGGGGTCTCAACCACTGCGCCACCAGGGAAGCCCTCAAAATACATTTTTTTTATAAAGACAACATACAAGATGTTTTTTATTGTTGTCATTGGCACTTCTGACATACCCCAAACATACAAAAACCCAGGACACCGTGTAATTATGCAGCGTGAACATTGGGTAAAGGTGACTCAGTGTTAGTAAGGATGACAGCAACAAAAGTTGGCAAAAGATATGGAATGAGTCCCAAGAATGACAGACCTTACATTACTCCAAAGGTTTGAAATCAGGGATCTCTCTGAGCAGTGTGGTCAATGGCTTCACTGCTGGTTTCAATTGCTTTGGAGTGGAAGGAGGTATCATATTTGCAGGCCATGGTAATCTGTTCCTTCAGAATTGCTCTCAATAAAAATCTTAGCAATGCAAGCACTGGAGTAATAGTGCTGTATCTTATTTAATACTAAACCATGGAACAAATGAAACCGCTCTGGCCTTTCTCCAACCTTTGTGAATCCCTCATTCTTGTACTTCTATTCTATTTCTTCTTAGAACACCCTTTAACCCCCCTCCTTTTTCTTTTTCCCCGCAAATCATATCTCTGAACTTGCCAACTCTGTGACCACCCTATGATCTCCAGCAGCCCCCAAGAGGCAAAATGCTCATAATAAAATGACAATTTCAATCACAATTCGGCCCAAAAGTATTTGTGCAGTGTTTACTCTGTGGTTAGCACCAAATTCTCTGCCTATTGTGCGTCTGCAAACAGCAAGCCCATAGTTCCCCAAAATAACATAGTTCCTCATGCTTCACTCTTGGTTGGCCTGAGGTCAGGAAAGAAGTGAAAATAAAATCTTCCAACACTATCCTCCATCTGGCTAGAAGTATACCCCACCACACATGGAGATGGCAGCCAAGTCTTCATTCCCTCAGAGTTTCTCCTCCAAGAAGCTCCTCACTCACCCAACTCTTCCATCGTCACACACCCAAGATGCTCTGGTACCACAGGTTGTGAGGAACTGTTTTGGCATGTGTTGAAGAAGAGGACCGCAAAGGAACTGAATGAGCCAGCGTGAAGCAGCCTCTATAACCCTTTTTGGTTCCTGTATTTGCTTAGCACTTCCTCTCTTTTGATTTGGTGAGTTTCTTTCTTTTTTTTTTTTTCTTTTTTGTTGGTCAGAGTTTTAAAAAATGAGCCTGACATAAAAGGTGAGTAATTGGATTTGAGTTCTGGCTGTGCATTGGCCAGGGTGATAAGAATCAAAACTAGTTTTGAAAAATTTGAGAACCTACTATGTGCCTGGATTCATTTTGAATTCATGGGAATGGCAGATTTGCACTTGTGTTTTTGCCCAGTGTGGGTATCCTGCTGTAACTGTGCATGATGGAATCTGATTTTTTTTTCCCCTGAGGGACCACGGAAGCACAATCTCCTTCATAAAATTTCCATCAGACTTAACTGGCACCCAATTCATTTTGCTTAATTATCCAGAAATTGTGCTTACCTGGTTTTCTGAATAGATCATCAACCCATTAAAGGCAGAAGAAAAAAAAGAGATACAAATGAACTTATTTATAAAACAGAAGCAGACTCACAGACTTAGAGAACTGAATTTATGGTTACCAGAGGGGTAGTGGTGGGGAGGGATAGTTAGGGAGTGTGGGATGGACACACTGCTATATTTAAAATGGATAACCAACAAGGACCTACTGTACAGCACAGGGAACTCTGCTCAATATTCTGTAACAACCTAATTGGGAAAAGAATTTGAAAAAGAATAGATACATGTATATGTATAACTGAATCACTTTGTTATATACCTGAAACTAACACAACATTGTTAATCAACTACACTCCAATAAAAATAAAAAGATTTAAAAAAAAAGGCAGAACAGGATTCTCAGGACCAGGTTCACATTTGGATTCTCAGGGCCAAGTTTATTTCAGTGGTTCAAAATGCAAACAACTATAGGGGTCATGAAGAATGAAACTGGAAGATTTAAGACACCAGGTTCTAAGCTGCTGACATTCTCGATTAAGCACAATTCCTGCCTAGTTATATTGTCTTAGTTTCTCTAAAAAGTGACACTGAGGTTAACTTTCACTTTTTTTTTTTAACCACTGTGATTTTATTCACCTTGAATAAAACAAAACAATTACAAAAGGCCTACTATGAGAAGGCAGTACATAAAGAACTAAAATTACGGTCCTGTGAAATAGATATTATCCCCATTTTTACCAGTGGTGAAATAGATACAAAGAATAGAAACTTGCTAAAGATAATATAATTAGTAGGTGGCTTTGTTACTTACTAAAACAGATTTAACTTCAAATTCAAAACTGTAATCTTTCCTCTACAACACAGTGGTCTTTTTAAGGTTAATCTAAAGGAATCTTTCATTCTCCATTCCATTGTGACCCTAAGACTTTAAAAAAATGTTTTTAATGTAAAGGAGATCCCATCTCTGCATTACTTTGAGCAGCCATTGGATGTCAGTGCCATTCTAAAAGTCTGCTCACTGCAAACATAGGTTTGAAAAATTCCCATCCACACTATGCTCAACAGTTTTTACAACTGAAATGCCATTACCCGCATGAAAGTGCAAAACACTCAACAGAGAATACGAACATTTGCCCAATCTGAAGTGGTAACTGAGCCAAAATCCTGGAAGGAAAACTGCTCTTCAGCATTTGTCTTGCAGATATTGGACTCCATCTGCAGTTTAACTAAATGATTAATGTGAAATTTAGAACTGGATTCCGAGATCTTGTTTCCATTCACTTACGTTGGAGATTTTTAACCCCGGATGCTTTAGTTTCCAGGGGTAAGAACTGTTCCTGCAAATCGCTCCTCGATTATAATGGATGAAAGGAAAAAAGGAAGCAACGCAAAAAGCTCACAGCCATCACCAAATGCAACTTGGAGATAAGCAAACGGAAACTCCCGTTTGATGCGTTAGGGCAATTTAGTTTCACATGCTAGCGGAGAGAAAAGTAATTTCTGACAAAGCGGCTATTCTGCCCATGCTTCCTGTGCAGCAGAAACATTTAAAAACCGCAGAAGCAGATGGTTTCAGGGTGGGGAGTGTGAGGGAGGCCTTCAGTTTTCCGGGTAGGTCACGCTAACAACTCTTCACCTCCCTTCCTTCCAGCCCAGGGACCACAGCCAAGTGAAGCAGCCGATACCACTTCCTCGGCCCCGACAACATCTAGTAAAATTCTACAATTATTTCTACAAACTTTTATTATCAAATGAGTGGTAGGAATTGTGCTAGCCCCCTAGGATCCAACGGAACCAGATTCAATCCCTGACCTCCAGACGCTCACAGGTTAGTGGGTCAGACACAGAAGACGAATATTGCAGGTATAAACGCTAAGCGGTCCCAGATGAGGCGCCACCTAACCAGAAAAGATGAGGGCTATTACGTGTCCACCCTACAAATGGTTCGCCAACACCAAGTACGAAACTACGGAAAACCCTGCCAGGCAAACCCCACCAGCCACTGGGCCCACAATTGTGGTCAGATCTACGCAGGCGTTGAGGCCTAACCCGGAAACACTGCCTCCCCGGAAGAGTAAATGCGAAACGCGGAAAGAGTAAACTACCTTTCCCATCGCGCATCAGTCAAACACTCCCAGCATCCTCTCAGCCTCTGGCTCCGTATCTTTTTTCCTAAGGCGTAGAAAAAGTTGAACTTCATTTCCCAGGATGCCCCTGGGCAAGTTAACCATGCTCATGCGCCAAAAGGCGGGTCCACCTTGCCCTCACGACCCCGCCTCTGTCCTACCGCCGCCATTTTTTCAGAGACTTTCATCCGGCAGCCGACGGGGCTTTTTTTCTTAAAGGAGAAGCGACAGCTCAAAAAAATTTCCCCCTTCTCCCCGCAAGACCTGGCGGCGCTGGGGACAAAAAGGCTACAGACAGGAAAGTGGGATCGGGGTGGGGGTGGAAGAACGCCGAGGCTACTTCCGCGGCTTAAGGAAGAAGGATAGAAAGAGCCCTTGTGGCATTAGCGGCTCCTTAGGGAGGCAGGTGCGCGCGCAGCCATTCCAGGGTGCGCGCGAGGCGGGGAAAGAGGTGCGTTTTTTTCCCACCAACCTCCTCGCGAGACCTGCCCCTCCCACTGCCCTTAGCGCGCATTGAGCTCCGGAGGTGGGGGAGAAAGGTCATTTTGGCATTGTCGCGAGACGCAGCCGTTTAACGGTGAGAACGGGTGCGCGGGGAAGAAAACCTCGCGCGCTCCCTTGGAGCCGTTTCCTGATTGGTTGAAGGGAGGGGTGGGGGAGGGAACCGGCACGCCGCTGCGTGAGAGACCTTGGGGGGCGGGGCTAAGAAGCCGTTCCTCCTCTCCGATTGGTCCGCTGCGCGTCGGTGGCGGGCGCGCGCGCGCCGCCTGCGGTAGAAGGCCTTGAGTGGCAGGGGGTGGGGGGGGCGCCCTCGGAGCCGGGCGGAGGGGAGGGGGGAACGAGGAGAGCCGAGTGAGAGTGAGCCGGTCGCTCCGGGGGGCGGGGGGAGCAGCGCCGCGGCCGCCGCCGCCTCCGCCTCCGCCGCCTGGGACTAGGGGGTGGGGGGCGGACGAGTCCCGATGCCGGGAGAGACGGAAGAGCCGAGACCCCCGGAGCAGCAGGACCAGGAAGGGGGAGAGGCGGCGGCGGCCAAGGCGGCTCCGGAGGAGCCCCAGCAACAGCCCCCTGAAGCGGCGGCGGCGGCCCCTGGGGGGACCACTAGCAGCCGCGTGCTGAGGGGAGGTCGGGACCGGGGCCGGGCCGCTGCGGCCGCCGCCGCCGCTGTGTCCCGCCGGAGGAAGGCCGAGTATCCCCGCCGGCGGAGGAGCAGCCCCAGCGCCAGGCCTTCCGACGCCCCAGGGCAGCAGTCCCAGGCCGTGAAGCCCCCGTCTCCAGCTCAGGGCAAGAAGAGTCCGCGACTCCTGTGAGTAACGTAGTCTTTCAGGCGGTGGGAAAGACCCCCCTCTATCCGCACGCAACCCTCTCGGCTCCCGTAGCGATCACTCCACGTGACATCCTGCTTGCTCTGCCCCCTGCCGGCTCGCATGGCAGATGTCACGCCGCTTCCCTAGCCGTCTTATCACTTCTCTCTGGCTTCCTCCGCCCCCCTTGCCTGTCTGTCCGGCCACTTCCCCACTCCCTGAAGGCGTCCTTTGTAGGATACACTTCTGCTCCTTAGTGACCCACCTCTTCCCTGCCGCCTCAGGCTTCTCCCGCAATCTGGCATCTGCGCTCCCTTTGTCAGCCTATCCCTTTCCCGCTTAGGGCGGCTCTCCAGTATTACATCACATCCCCATTAGGAAATCTACAGCATGAGCTTGGATCTTAGCATTCAAAATTGTGTCGTTCCCCTCACCCCCCCCCCCGTCCCATTAATTAGCTCAAGAGCCAGTTGTACTAGTATCGTTGTGTAGCTTTTTTCACTCTACTGAATTTTCACATCACTTTTCACTCGTTTTAAAAACCTGGGACTTAGTAGTCGGGTAAAACGTGGCTTGCCAATTTTAAGTATAGAGTCTTTCATGTAACGAGATGCGTTTTCTTTCATTTTTTTTTGACAAGTAGCTTATGTGTTTGTTTTTGCGTATGTTTTAATGTAGGAACTTCGTCCTTAAAAATTAGAATAATCTGAAAGTAATTTCTTTATTACCTAGAGATCATAGAGAAACTAAGATGATCAGAAATATAAATATTTTAAATTGTTTATTAAAATGTTTCTATGCTGAAAATACTGAAGCACACGTGTTTGTAAATTCTAGAAATTAATCACATTAGCCATTGAATTCGTTACTGAAGGCATTTGTGTCTTTTGACTTTCAAGTGAAAAAAATTAGTAAAAGCAGGGAAAGTTGAAGGTGGGGGGAGAAATCAGTTTTAAATGCCCCCCCACCTCCACCACCACCCTACCTCCCCAGCAGAGAGCATGGCAATATTTTGCTTGTACAGACCCGATAGATTTAGAACACTCCTGTTATGAAATTAAGAGTGAAGTCTGTGACCTTGGCATGCTTGTCTTAGAAGACTCTCAGAAAGAGAAATAAAATTCAAAGGTATATTGTGTATTATATGTGCTTTCAAATTATTAAATGTTATTTAAATTAACATAATTTAGAGAATTGTGTAAACTAAATTTCTGTGGACAGCAAAAATATGTACTTACAAATGGTTCAGCTGCAATTAGGATTCTAATTGCTGTAAATTAATTTCATGGTCACAGAAAATTTAAGCTTCTGTATTCTCATAAATTTGAAGAGATATATCATTAGCCTTATTTGGATATAAATTCCTTGGACAAATTAAACTGCTCGTGCCTCAACTTTATTATCTATAGGAGATAACGTTAATCTCTATGAGCTGCGTTTGTGAGACTTAAGTACACCCTGTGAAACACTTAACACAAAGCATGATATGTAGGAAATATTTACTAAAAGTTACTGTTTTGAGCAGTGATGTCTTTGGTAGAGGTAAAACTAGTGTGTAGTGGTCTTTTTCATGTAAATTCTGTGAAATTGGCTTTTTAATTCTTTTTCTGTTACCATACACAGGAAGGTTAATATCTTAATTTTTTTTAATTCCCTTTTATCTTCATCTACCCATACCTATATCTCCTTGCCACGTTTCCCTCCTACTGATCCACCAGCTTTACTTATAGAAATGATCTCTTAAGATTATACATAGAGTGGTAGTTTTACCAGCTGTCATGGTTTATTACGTTCCCTAACTCTTGGCAAAAAAGTACTAATGAGTCTTTTTTTATTTCCACATTATAAATGTTACTGTAGTTGAACTTGGATGAAGATGACTTAATTAAACCCCTTCAGTTTTTTTCTTCACAATGTTCCTTGTGGGGAGGGAAGAATAGTCTTAATTCTTAAAGTCCCTTTCTCTCTCATCCAATATCATAAAAGGTAGTAGTGTTCTTTTACCTTCACTTAGCCTCAGAACTCTCTCTTAATTTTATATATATATATATATATATATATATATATATAAAATCCAGTTTTGATTGGATTGTTACAATACATTTTCATTGTAATAATTTTTTTTGTTACACATTTTCAATATACTGCATGCCCTGGAAATCAAAGAACTAAAGCATTTCAGCTCCAACCTTGATTGAGCAGTAACTGGTCCTGGTACTGTGTTGACCCAGGGTTTATAAAGGAAAATGAGACATGGACTTTATCCTCAAGGACTTTGCAGTAAAGGAGGAAGATGCATTGATTAGTGGAGATTTGTCAAATGTGTACATGGTTTACAGGTTTTCAGAATAAAATAAATTTTGAAACTAATTAAATGAGAACCAGTCCTTTAAGACATTCAGTTTACTGAACCCTGGTCTAGTGCCTTCTCACCTTGATTCAGCCCTACTTTCCAAATAACATTTCCCCCAATAAATTCCCAGTCATCAGCTGTTAAACCTACATTTGTTTCTCTTGATAGAAGAGACAGCAGAGTGTACAGTAGCTCAATAATGTCAGTAAATACAGAGACTTGGATTGATTGTAACCTCTTTTCCTCTTACAAGGCAAAATAACAGAGGAAAAAACATTGCTTTCTACTGCTTACTAAGTGACCTTGGGCAAGTCACTTAATCTCCTTAAATATGCTTCTTCATCTTTAGTTGATAATTTATGATTTGTGAAATGAGCTTTATAGTTAGATGACAATTATCATTTTTAGAAACTTTCCTAAGCTTATAACAACTTTTCTATTTGCATTGAAATGTTCAGAAATTAATGAAAAGAGTAGGAACTCTTTGTGAAGGGAAATAAAGAATTTTTCAGTGAATGTGCTCAAGATAAAGGCATGAAGTTAAATCTATAATCATTATAAATTAAAACTTAAAGGCTAATATTAAGGAAAGATAAACCAAATTTGAAGAAAGATTATATATCAGTACTAAGAATTAGGCTTTTCATTTGCTGTATTTTAGCCAATAAACTCTGGAGTTAAGATTCTTATGTTTCAGATACAGATGTTTATATACTCATCTAACTTAAAAATGTATATGTGTTTCAAATACAGATGTTTATATACTCATCTAACTTAAAAATGTATATGTGTGTGTATATGTATATGGGAATTTATATATATACACACACACCCTCACACTCCAGCTTATTTCTGATACATAAGTTAAAACATTCTTGCTTTCTGCTAATATGGAAACAATATATTGTTAAAATAAGACTACTTTAAATGTAAAAGGCTTATTTTCTTTCTCCCATGTGATAATAAGTCCTTTAGTTATCTGATGCATTTCAGAATTTAACACTTAAGTACTTTTTTTTTTTTAATTTCTCATTTAGCTGTTGAGGAAAGGTGTTCTTTCCTCACCACAGGGAATACAGGCTAAAACTGAATATTACTAGAGGTAAACCTACAGGCTCAGATGGGTTACAAATGAAGGAAACAAATACTGCTCTGTTTTCTGGTATATGGAGTTCCATTTTGGGTTTATTTTCTTGCTGAAAGTAAAATGGTAGTAAACCTTAGCATGATACCTTCTTGCTGCTTTTGTAAGGAAAAGGCAATGGTCATAATAGTGAGAATGAAGAGGCAATAATATTCTGAATTGGAAAAACTTTTCTGACTCTTTGGAGAAGGCTTCAATTGTATTTAAGCCTGAAATCCTGAGTTTTCCTCTTAACAGTGATCAGTGTGGTAAAAGAAACATTGAACCATTCCAGAAGGTTTTCAGAAAGTTAATT